GAGTCCAGATAAGCAAGGTTTTGGGACCCCTGAATACCCATCGACTCCTCCGAAGTGACAATGGGTGACGTAGCATTTTATTCTCAATATGGCATGAACAAACAGCACAACTATTGGTTCCGTTAAACTCCGTCACCAATTTCTAATTGGGCTAAGACCTGTGGGTTGGGTCTTCCCGAGCAAAGGTTTTTTCCCCCCTTCTAGCTAAACGATGGGCGCTTCTTCCTCTCAAACTATGAAACTCTAAAAGTATCTATATAGCTGATATGGTTACAGGGTGTTATTGCTCTCCCTATCCATACAGCAGGCTCAGGGCAGGTTCCAAACGTACAGATCAGCAAACAATGCAGATTTACAGTTAAAACGTATTCATCCATACGAGAACCTTTGAAACTCGGTAAAATCACTAGAACACTAAAAACATACAATGGGCCTCAATAGATGACGTTAATTCCGGCGATGCTGTAGTTCCAGTCGGATTCTAGGATCTGCGGGCACTGGAGGGAGGGCAGATCAAAGTGGATGCCCGCTGCCTCAGCTAAAAGCCTGGCGGAAGAGCTCCGTCTTACAGGCCCCGCGGAACTGTAACAGGTCCCGCAGGGCCCTGATCTCATAAGGCAGCTCATTCCACCAGGTAGGGACCAGGGCCGAAAAAGCCCTGGCCCTAGTGGAGGCAAGCTGGGCATAGAGTTTCTGGCAATTGTTAGAGCTACCCTTGCCACTTCCTGGTAAGATTACCATAGAGTTTCTGGTAATTGCTAGAGCTACCCTTGCCACTTCCTGGTGACATTACCACAGAGTTTCTGGCAATTGCCAGAGCGACCCTTGTCACCTCCTGGTAGCTCTAGGAATCACCAGAAATTTTATGGTCACAACTTCCTTTAAGAAGAAGGAGGAGGAGGAGGAGATGATTGGATATATACCCCGCCCTTCACTTGGAGTCTCAGAGCGGCTTACAAACTCCTTTCCCTTCCCCTCCCCACAACAGACACCCCGTGAGGTGGGTGGGGCCGAGAGAGCTCTGACAGAAACTGCTCTTTTTCAAGGACAGCTGTGCCAGAGCTTGTGACTGACCCAAGGTCACACCAGCAGGTGCAAGTGGAGGAGTGGGGAATCAAACCCGGTTCTCCCAGATTAGAGTTCGCACACTTAACCCCTACACCAACACTATAATAAGAGACAAGGCCTTATTTTTCTTATTTTTCTCCCCAGATGCTCCCCCCCCCGCTGCCCCCGCCAACAACATTTCTACTGGTTGCCTGGCAACCCAGCAGCTGAGGCACCGGCGATTCCCCTTTAAGTGCAGCCAAAACACAGGCCGCTCCTCCTAGCCCTTTGCTCCACTGCCTCACCTACGGTGCCAGGCAGGATTCCTTGGGTGCCCCACAGAGTAAATGAGGGAAGGATCAGGCAGCAGGACCCCTGCAATGTAGGTCTGGGAGCTCTAAATTCCTGGCTGCCAGCATCAGTGAGAGATCAAAAGGGCGATGTCTGCGAGTTGACAACCTTGGAATGGACACAGAGCTGTCCATTAGCAACAAATGTAGTGGTTAGGAGCACGGACTCTAATCTGGGAGAACCGGGTTTGATTTCCCCACTCCTCCACGTGCAGCTGCTGGCGTGGCCTTGGGTCAGTTACAAGTTCTCTCAGAGCTGTTCTCTCAAGAGCAGTTCTCTAAAGAGCTCTCTCGGCCCCACCCACCTCCCAGGGTGTCTGTTGTGGGGAGGGGAAGGGAAAGGAGATTGTAAGACGCTCTGAGACTCCTTTGGGTAGTGAAGGGCAGGGTATAAATCCAATCTCTTTTTCTTCTTCTTCATTAGCAACAGAAATGCCTTAAACATCCCGTTTAACGGCGCTCCAACTTGATACTTCCATTCTTGTCATACTGACTGACTTTGATTCCATAAGAAATCACACTTTCCTTTTCCCACGTTAATTATTAACTGAATCTCACGCCGAGGGATTACTTATCGCAGAGCAAACCAGCCAAGGGCTTCGGTTTTCCTCTCCCCCTCTTATCTTTAAAAGCCAACAATCCCACCCAACCGCTGATAGCAAACACGGCTTCCTCCCTGTCTCCTTTGTTTCCTCCAAACGCGGGACGTTTTGGCTGCTGCGTTCCACCAGCTCCTCCCTTTTTCTCACCTTGTTGTACAGTTTCCACCATCCCCAGAACCGCAGCTGCAAGAATTTGCGGACGTTCCTCTGGATTGCTATCAGGCCCACCCTGGAAGGAAAAAGATTGCTTGGGCCTTATGGAGCAACAAATCTCTGCACACACTGTCAACCTTCTCTCTTTTAGGTTGAGTCCAGGGACCCTGTCCCAGTTTCTGATGCAATTTGGATTTGTACAGCACTGACTAGACAGACCTCATGATGCTGCCGCTGCCACCACCTCATTTTTTCCCCACTTTGCACAGGACTGATTGGCCAGTGCCTGTGATGTTTTTGCAAAGCGAACGGTTTCTCCACACAGTTTGTGAACGGTATTAAAAGCCTTTTAAAAAAAAACCCTTTAAAAGCTTTATAACAAATGTTTTGTTGGATAAATGTACTAGACGCTGCACTACCGCTGCCACCACTTCATTTTTTTCACTTTGCACAGGACTGATTGACCAACGCCTAATGCCTGTGATGTTTTGCAAAGCCAACCTTTTCTCCATACAGAGTTTGTAAACGGTATCACAAGCCTTTCAAAAGCTCTTTTAAAAGCTTTATAGCAAACGTTTTGTTGGATAATGTGCCAGACGCTGAAGCACAGGGTTGCAACTTGGCTGAGACATGGGGATAAGAGACATAGAAAGAGGAAACCAGGATTTGATCCACAAGTCAGACCTTAACACGAGTGAAGGCACGATGGCTCACAGCTCACCTGAAAAACCTGCAAACATTCCCATTCACGGGTTTATCTATCCCCGTCCTACTGATCTAACTGCAGTTTTACAAACTACACGGCTTTCTCTTTAAGGGAAAAGGGGCCGTGGCTCAGTGGCGGAGCATCTGCTTGGCATGCGGACTATCCCAGAATCAATCCCCAGCGTCTCCAGTGACGTGTGACCTAAGAGCCTGAAAAGCCACTGCCAGTCTGAGAAGACAAGACTGACCCGGATGGACCACGGGTCTGATTCAGTCGAAGGCAGCTTCATGCATTCCCCGTGAAGGCCAGATAGGACAAAGGGGGGGGGGGTGGGAGGGCAGGGAATCCCTATGGGAGGGCAGGGAATCTCTTCTTTCTTTCCAGCATCTTTTTGAACTCGATCCTCATCAGGAAACCCCGCCCGCGGCACTGCAACATGGTCATGATCCTTGCCAGCCGATCGTCTCGCATGTCTTCCAGCTTGGCTAAGACGCCGGCACGGAAGAACACCTGGGAAAGCAGAGATCCGTGTGTCCGTCAGCTCGATGACAAGGGCGATCCCCTCACAACCCACTCCCCCGTGCTCAGCCACACACGCTGGTTTTAGGATTTCCTACATAGCTGCGGGCCGGGGGGGGGGGGGCTACCGATCCTTCCTGTAACACTTCCGATGAGCGCATAAAGCGCGGGCCC